ATGGAATTTGGACAACCTGAATTCTACTTGCTAGTGTTGCTACTGGCAGCCTTTGTTACCTAGGTAAGACTGATCTGACCAGCTTTAACATAATTTCATCAGCTAGAGAAATACAGGAAAACAGAAGCCACACTTTCTTGACTTCTCTGCCTTCTCTGTCTGCACTGTTAAGGTTTCTAAGGCAGTGACTCCCTTTACCTCCAAGGCTCTCATGTCATTTAGCTGATGCCAATCTCACTCTGATGGTAACATTAGTCATCCCTAGCTATCATCCCTAGCTACCCCTCAGCTGCCATGGCAGAGGGGAATCATAGATATGACACACCTGGTTGTGCTGTAGGCAGGACTTGTTTTATTGATGTACCCATCAACTCTGGGCCCAAGGTGTCCAGGCAACATGTAGTATGGGCCTCTTCCCTCCAAACCAAGACATGGCAGCAGGAAACATTTTCCACAACAGCTTACTCAGCCTTAGGAAACACAGATCATCAGTGCCTGTGCCACGTAATGCCACAGCAATGTGAGCAATAATGCCCCAGGCAGTTATGGGATGGATTTAGTTGAGGCCAGTAGGTACCCATATTCACATCTTTAATATATTTTATTTTCATTACACTTGGTTGTACACAATCATTCTTAGAATATGGTAACACAGAAACTTCAGCACTGGGAAGTATTAGATAATGTGACTGTACTTGTCCCTCAAATTGAAGTAATGCCCTTAACACGACACTTCATTAGCTTCTCAAGAAATAGTCCTGATGTCATTACTCAGCATTCATCTAGTCTTTCCTCAGGCAAAACTAGCTGCAAAGTCAAATCATAGCAGGAATATTATACGAGTAAGACTTAAGTAAGGAGAGCAAGATTTAGCCTGTTATCTGTAAATGATAGAGGTGCCTTTTCTGATTTACTTTCTTTAATCACATTTGTAGAAACCAGTCGTTTGTCCTCGAGTTTCAGAAGCCAGTTCAGTATGACTGGAGAGGCATACTTACACTCTTGTGAGGTACTTATTATTTTAGACCTCTGTCTAAAACCTAAATATAACATTAAACAATTAAAAATCATAGGTACAGATGACACAGAATTACTGGCATCAGGAATGTATCTGAGAATACTCTGTTACACTAATCAGAATGAGAAGGTAAAGCCAAAAAGGAAATTACACCCCAAGGAAGAAGTTTGTTTTAAATAAAAAGGAGGTTAAAAGTAGCCCAAAGGTTTCATGATGGCATAATCAACCATGAAAGAGTGAAAGGGATGGTTCTGCCTCATCCTTTGAAGATGGAATAAGAAATGGATTTACAATGTTTAACCAGTTTTCTTGAGCCCCTCCTACCATTGATACTATGCTTGGATCCTGATGACCACATAGCTATAAGGTTCCTTTAGAAATCATCATCTCTCCTTTCATGTTGGCCAATTTCAGTTGTCTTTAGTGGCAAACTCTCTTTACCATCTCATTTCCTAAAGCCTGATTACCTGACTTAATCTTTCCTACATCATGTCTTTACACATTTGCAGTCGATCCATGCAAAACAGCTGTTATTGACCATGTGTAAAAATCAACCAAAGCATCCTCAGCTCGTGAGGACACTTACCAAAATAAATTGCTAACCAGATGACTTGAAGAGATTCACCACGACCTTTCCTGGTACAGAGGGAACTGTGGATGTGTCTTTTTCCCTTGTGCCCAGAGTACACAGCCCACTGACTGCATCGAAACTGTTCAGCGGACTTTTATTACAAAATAAAATCAAAAAAGTTACACTGGAATTATTAAGTCAAAGCTGTACTGTGGTAACTTGGATGTATTTGGAAGAATGGAGTTTATTACAGTTAAGTTTGTCAGATTTTTTTTTTTTTTTTTTCTCTAAAGGAATCAATGTACCAGAGAGGAAGATAAGGCACTTATGTAGCAGACATGCCTACATCCATACAGCAAGTTGGCTTTCCAGAACTGGTTTGTAATTGGCTGTGTGCTGAGTCACTTCCCTCCTCCCCACTCGGTAAGCATCGCACGTCACCTGATCGTCATTACTAACCCACGGGAGACTGACACTTGCTCACGCCTCTGTCATGATTTATTAAACAGCATTGGGCCTGCTTAATCTGGAGAAAACAGGACTGAGAGGGGATCTGATTTAATGCATATAAGTATCTCCGAGGCAGGTGCCAAAAGGATGGTGCCAGACTCTTTTTGGTGGTGCCCAGCGACAGGACGGGGAGCAGTGGCCATAAACTGAAACACAAGTAGTCCCACCTCTACATGAGGAAGAACTTCTTTACACTGAGGGCGGCAGAGCACCGGGACAGACTGCCCAGGGAGGTGGCGGACTCTCCTGTGGAGACATTCCAAACCTCACCTAGGTGCGTTCCTGTGTCACCTGCTCCAGGTGACTCTGCCTTGGCAGGGCGGCTGGACTGGATGATCCCTAGAGCGCCCTTCCAGGCCTACACACCCAGCCGGCCATCTGGGCCCCGGGAACTCCCGCGGCCGGGGGCGGGCCGGGCGCTCGGGGCGTGCCCGGAAGCGGAGGCGGAAGCGGCGCTCGGTGCGGAAGCGGCGGCGGAGCCGCGGTTTGGGTTCCGCGGGCGGCGGGGCAGGGGCGCTGCGCCACCGGCAGCCGGGCCCGCTCCCCGCGCCAGTCTCCTGCCGCTCCCTCCTCTCCCTGCCCTCTCCGCCGCGCCATGGCGGCCAACAGCGGCAACCTGCAGGTAGAGCGAGCGACGCCGGCCCTGCCCGGCGCGGGGCGGACCCGGCAGCGGCGGCGGGCGGGGGGCGGTGCCGGGAAGGAGCGGGGCCGGGGGTGTCCCGGGCCGGGGCTGCAGGCGCAGGGAGCGCGAACGCCCTGTGCTCTGCGGGCCGAGAGCACTGCCGGGAGGGCCACGGGCACCGCAGCCAAGGGGGCGTGGGGGGCACTCGGCTGGGGCTCGGGGTGGAAGAGCCCGCGGGGTCAGCCCTCATCGCCCCGGGCCGTGAGACCCTGGGGAGGGGGTCCCGGGAAGGGGAGGGAGTCCCTGGGGGCACCAGCCCTGCGGGACGCGGGCAGCAGGGCCTAGTGCCCGCCCGGGAAGCGCTGTTGCCTCTTGTGGTCTGGACGCGTGGTGTGGCTTGTGTTGCCGTAAGGCTGCTGGTGGCTGTAGGAAGCCCTTGCCTGCTCTGCTGTTCCGCTTGTGTTAACCCGCGGCTGGGGGGTGTAATCGGTTCTGCGGCAGGCCGGCAAAACAGACCTCGAAGTGAAATAAGTGCGTTCCAAAGAGTCCTTTTTTCTCTTCGGCTATTTGAACCGTGTCGTTTTTGTATGCTGGCAGTGTGATGTTTGCATTGGCAAAGCTAGAGAGATGCTATAGGGTCTATATACTAAGCAGTAGAAGAATGACACTTCTTTAAGCTGACATTCTTTCCTTGGATGATGTTGATCAAACTATAAACCCATGGCCTCATAAAACATAGTTTGTGCCTCAGGGGTAGTTAGAGCTGGTCATCTATGCCCTAGTTCATACAACTTCGTAATAATGATTTTTTGTTTGATAGCAGTGGTGTTCTTCACAATAACACGCCAAGATGCAGCTGATATAATAAAGTATTAGAGCTGAGAATCTTATAGCCAGGTCTTTGGCTGTTTCAAAAAGAGAGTAGCAAAACTAGGCAATATTTGATGCAGACTTTTGTCTATTTCAGAGTAGCAGGTCTGTGACATGGCATGTTCTCTCACAGTTCTAGTTTAGTAGATGAACTTTGCCATTTATTCCTTGGAATCAATGTCACACGTATCACTATCTTTGTTGTACTGGATCTAGGAATTATTGGGCTGCCCCATGATAATTAAAGTCTCTGACAGGACTTAAGAACTTTAATATGAAAATGACGTTTCGGGGGGTTGATTTTTGCTTTGTTGCTAGATGTGAGTTGTGCACAGAGGTGTATAAGGGGGTCAGCATAAAATAGGCACCAAGAAGGCAGCTGTCCATTCATACCTGGGAAACTGCTTGTCAGCTCCTGGCCTCTCCAAATAGGAAAGACTTCGGTTCTGTTCCAAAGAAACAGGTGTTTATAGTGCTCCAGCACAACAGAGTCTGTTTAATTGGTTCATTGTTTTTCCTTTGATTTCAGGTAGATCTGTTGGGATGATCTTTGCTTCCAAGATAGCAACACTTAGCAAAGAATGCAGTATTCTGCTGTTTCTTTCATGGCTATTATTTGCTAGCTTTGTTCTGCCTGAAACACAGCAGAGTGTAGATAGTGGAAAGAGTATCTGTACTGGAGTGTCTAATGGAAACTCCTTGCTGCAATTCAAACTCTCAACCTTGCTCCCTGACATTACATAACCATCCTGAGCATACTAGCAAAGCTTAGGAAAGGGAGCCACATGGGAAAAAATAAATTATAGAATATTTTGTTGGTGTTGGTTAACTCTGGCTGACTGTTTATTTTCAACTTACATGAACCAGTGGTCAAAATGACAGTTTTAATTGTCTTGAAGTGGTATGGGCAAGGAGGAAAGTGTAATAAAAAGTAATAAGCACTTAAGGCCAACGGAATAGTTGTGATACAATAAATCCACAGGGCAGTGTATGCAATACAGTGGCTTAGAGCTCATTCAGGTTTATTTGAAACTAGCTGAACAAATAAAGAGCAACTCCATTCATAGCTTCTCACAGAACTCTGATGCTCGAGATTTAGGTATGTTTTCTCTCTGTTTTGGGGATTTTTTTTCTCCTTTCCCACCAAAGTGATAATTAGAATTTCTCACAAGGATATCCATAATTTAAATCCTCCTGGAGAAGCCAAGCAGGTGGTCTTTGAAGGTGTCTCCAATCATAATGTTTTAAGAACAATGGTGCTACTTTCAGTGATTGTAATCAAGTACTTCCTGTATTGACTTTGCTGTTTATAGCATTTACTGATGTCATCAGTCACAGAATCATAGAATTGTTTCGGTTGGAAAAGACTGAGTCCTATCATTAACCCAGCACTGTCAAGTGCACCCCTAAACCACTCCCTAAACAGCATATCTATATCATAGTTCAAAGTGTCTAGGTCTATGATAAAAAAAACCCAAGCCTTATAATGGATTTCCAAATCTTTCCATAATAAGTGCGAGAGATTGGTAAGACAGACTGCATAGACAAAATAGTAGCAGCTCCAGCTTAGAGCACAGAAACTTGTTCTTCCCACTTGCACTTTTTTGTATGCTAGTAAATTTCAGCAGTTTGTAAATCCTGCTGTTCCTAAAAGGATGGAAAAACTGTGTCTTGTACAAAACACCACCTAAGACAATCAATTGCCTCCCAACTTTGAGGGGGTAAATGTTGAAGAGCAGGAAAACTGGCCATCAAAGAACAGAAACAGCTTAAATGGTCTCTGATCGTGGAAAAGGCTCTTGCACAGCAACTAATTATTTGTTTGTGTTACAGAAAGCAATAGACCTTGCTAGCAAGGCAGCACAAGAAGATAAAGCAGGAAACTATGAGGAAGCCTTCCGCTTGTACCAACATGCTGTGCAGTATTTTCTCCATGTTGTTAAATGTAAGTGTGGTGTGTTGGATGATTAAATAGATTTTAGTCGTCAGATTGCACAAGAGTAATCTCTTATGTTGCCATCAGTATTTAAATTTTTGCTCTCATCAACAGTTGATACTTGCTAATTGTAGTTTGACTGAGGTCATATATTTTGCAGCTTTTACCTTTACTGTGTTGTGTGCTTGCTCCATTCTTGTAAGAAATCAGATTATTTTTTACTTGTGTTTTGTTTTAGGTTTTTTTAAGACAGGAGGCAGGTGTTTGCTGTCTCTCCTCTGGACTTTTGTAGCAGTGTTTCAAGCTGGCCACTGCACGAGGAAATATGACAATAAGTACAGGGATCCCTGTATTTCTGTTGTGCTGAAAACCGTGTTACACATGAAGTCTTTGCTGCATCTGCAGAGTGTTTTTTGCTCCTTTAATTCATGCTGCTTGCCCTTCCAAAGCCTCTCTGCTCACATTTTTTGCTCCTTAATATCATAGTCTTGCTGTTTATTTTGGCCGAGAAAATGTATGAGATGGACTTGTACGTAACAATTTTTCTTCAATTTCCATATTCACATTGTTTTATGCCTTTTCACACTTCTGTGTACCTTTTTGTGCCACATTCAGTGTTTGTATGCAAGGAGTGGGCTTTCTTAATGTGGGTACAGCCCTAATGTAGGTGGGCTAGGGTTGCTTGCCTGACAAAAGTCACTTAGAGATCTTCGTGATTTGAAAAAAATAGTTTTCTTTATAGTCCTTTATTATTAGGATAATCTGTGTTTATCACTTCCTATCCATTTAAATCTTACAGACTTTCTCAAAATAGCACTTTCTGTCCTTTTAACAGTACTGATGTACTTTTGGAAACTCAGCTCATAAACCTGACATGTTAAATTTTGATTGTTGATTTGAAATACTGTAATAGTGATTATGAGAACAGCGTGGCTGTTGAAACACACCTAGATCTTTCAGATGTTTCATATAATGTTTCTTTATCATTTAAAATTAGCAGGCTGTGGAATAATCACATGTGGTTCTAAATAAAAATTGCTTAGCACAAGCAACTTCTTGATTAGCTATTTTAGAAAAGCAGTTATTAAAGCAATGTCTAGCAGCTTGAAAGGATGACAGAAAAGCTTCCAGTGCTGTTGTCCTTAATCCTTTAGAGTCAAATTCTAAGCCAATTTCTGTTCCATGATGATATCTTTCTGATTAGTTCTTTCCAAGGTATAGTGAAAAAAAATAAGTAGTTGAGATGTTTGGTTTTGTGGTGAGCCCTGAGAGAGGTATATTGATAAGAGATAAAGAAGGCAGATTTTTGGTCTTGTTTTTTGATTGATGCACATGTGTTTTGCTGTTAACAAACACTTGTTTCTCTTCAAACTCTTAGATGAAGCACAGGGTGATAAAGCAAAACAAAGCATTAGAGCAAAATGTACAGAATACTTGGACCGAGCAGAAAAGCTGAAAGAATATCTGAAAAAGAGAGAAAAAACTGCACCAAAACCAGTTAAAGAATCTGGTCCTGCTGAAGGAAAAGGGTATGTTTTTGGAGAAGGTAAAGCAAAATACTTCCTGAGCTCAGTTTATTCTAAACTTCAGCTATTCAAAGATCAATTTTACTTGTGTTTCTGAAATGCTTCCGATGACTACTAATGTTGAAATACGGTGGGCTAATAAAAACAATTTTTATTACCATCACAAGCATTTCTGTGCTTGTTTACTAAAATGTGAACATTTGCATAGGAAATTCACTAAAGAATGAAACCTGCTTCAGACTAACAGCTGAATCCAATGATTATTGGATTTAATGGCAAGGAGCCTGATAACTTTAAAGATTTTCTGCATTTAAATACTTAGTAACTAGAAAATAGTTTCAGACTGGTGATTACTGGGGTTACTGAGTTTGATCTGTCTCACACTTGATAAGAGATGAAAAGCCCATGTAGGGTAAAGTTCTGTAAAGTGGACTGAATCCCTCTGATCTGTTGCTTATGACTGATCTTTCCACTGCCTCCTTTCTCTTAGATTTGTTTCTCACTTTGCTTATCAGAGAGTTGAAGCAGAGCCACCCAAACAAGCTCAGCCTCTTTTGCATTTGGTACTGCCTTTATGGGGATAGGAGAGAGGAAGGATTCAGGATTATACTTTTTGGTGGGACTGCCCTTTCTAAGAGTCCTGAACAGCTAAAGTGGCTCAGTTGTCTCTTAAAACTTCACCTCATTTTCAGTCTTTTTCAATGTCTGCTCATCTCATCAGCCTTATATTTTCAGCTGTACCGTCTTCTACTTATTTATAATAGAGGGAAATGGTAATACCACAAAGGCTACATGTATTTTCATGACCTTTACTCCAGTTTTTCACTATCTAGTCCCTTTTCCTTCTTTAACTTCCAGTTTCCTTCGCTCTGATAAGACAAGAGTTTCATAGTATTAGATGGAATTGGCCAAGTCCTGTTGCATGTCCAGATGGAGGAGAAGTGCCAATGTCTACAGACAAACCATTCCAGCACCTCTGTGTTGCTGGATATAAGGGCTGTGTTTCCTAAAAGCCAGCTCAAAGCACATAAAAGCGTGTTAAGAGGGCTTAGACCCATAAGAGGAAGTTGAAATGGTGAAGGAGGGTAAATTGGAAAGAAATCATAGAAAAGTGTACTTCTGCTTTTCTACAGTCATGTAAACCTGTAGAAGTCTGAAAGCATCTCAATGTTTCTTTCATTCCTCAGCCTGATGGAGTTTCTGCTTTTTGCATTTTGATTTTTATCCTGAGACAGCAGTCTCTCTTACTGTATTTCAACATTTTGTTTCCAAATCAGCAATGACAGTGATGGAGAAGGGGAATCAGAGGACCCTGAAAAAAAGAAGCTACAGAATCAACTTCAGGGTAATTTGAAGCATCCTTTTCTTTAAATAGGGATCACTTCAGTCAAGCAAGTTCCTATATTTTTGCTATCTAAATTTTGTGGATTAACTTATTGTCTGTAAGTGGCTCAGCTAGTATGTAATCTTCATGTGCAAAAGCATAGTCTTTATGGAAGTAAAAGGACTTGTGTGCCAAGAACTTATACAGTAACTATATTGAAATGTATCTCCTGCATCCTGTGCTTCATATTAAAATTGTATCACCTATCAAGCTAGCAATTTCCAACAGAAGCTGCAAAGTCCCAGGTAGCTATTGACTAAACTGATTTAGTATTTTTTTACTCTAAAGTGCACTAGCATGTTGCCTAGAGGCTAAGGAAATGATGATACAAATACTTAGTGTAAGCAGAACGGTTTTCACAACAAGACTGGTATTCATGTTTTGGAGTAAGAAAACGGATTCTTGTCCATTTGTAATAAATAGGCTGTGCTTCCTTACATGCAGTGATGATGTTGTCCCAGTTCAGTAGCATACTTTGGGTTTTTGAACTCAAAGAACACAGTCAGTGAAGCAGTGTATAGCAGCTACCAGCAGTTTGGTGTGCAGTGAAAAGGAGGCTTTTTGATATTTATTTCCCTTTGATAATGAAGAACTGTTCAGAACTTCCCTTCCAGAAGGTGCTTATGGATCTGAAGAAACCTTGTTGTTCTCCTGTTTTTGACTGTAACAAATATCAACTGCATTTACCAGATCTTGTGCCTGTGTAATTTCAGGAGCTGTTGTATAACCATTGGAAACTGTGATGTGTTTTCTCTATTTCTCTGCACATTATTTAATCCCATGCACAGTTATAAGGGATTGATGACCACTGAACCTATCTTGTCTCTCACTATAAAAACTTCGTTTCTTTCCACATGAATCTGGCCTCAGATAGTAGAAGTAGTGGCTAGGATTACAAGATCTAATATTATAGATCTAATAATCTATTACTAACTGAGTTCCAAGTTTTCCCATCTAGAAGAAGTTAAGACAAAATTTTTAACATGTTAGATTAACCAATCTGAAGAGAAGGCTAAATTGCAGCTCAGTTGGCTGAATTCATTGATTGAGGAAGATGAGACGTGGTGCAGAACTTTGAATGTGCCTTGACCAAAAAAATACTTCTGCAGCTAAGCAGGATCCATATAACCTTTCTGATGGTTTCAGCCCTAGCTCTCAAACCTCTTTTCCATTAGATGATCAATTTGTTTGCTGCGTGTCTGGAGATACCAACAAGTTACTTCATCTGCTGGAGAATCTTTAAAAATCCTGAGCTAGTGTAGCTATGTTGTTTAAAATGAAATTTCAAATTTTTTTGAAAGTGCATTGGTGGTTTAGTGATGAGATGTGTCAGGACTTCTACTAACTCAAAAATATTCTAGTTATCCATGATTTATTGTGGTAAAAAAATTTGACAGATTTCTGTAAAAATAACATCCATTTGAGTAATTGAATTAATTGTTTCTATCATCCTAGAAATGCCTTGGTTTTATTCAGTATAGACATGGGCATAGAATTATTTTTTGCCAAATGGAATTTATTGTAATTGTGAAAAGATATGTACATCACTAACTTAGACAATCCTTTCTTACAGGAGCAATTGTTATGGAGCGACCAAATGTCAAATGGAGTGATGTTGCTGGCCTTGAAGGTGCCAAAGAGGCACTTAAAGAAGCAGTCATCCTTCCCATTAAATTTCCACACCTGTTTACAGGTCAGGATTACAGCATTTATTTATTATTGGCCAGTCAGGACTGGCACTGGGGCCTGTGAAGTGTGTTGTGCCAACGTGTCACAGACTCAAGCCGATCTCTTAACAAAGAGATTTTGAGCTGTCTGACAGAAGTTTCATGGGTAGATGTGGAAAACCTCCAAGCACCCTAGAGCAGCATCATGAGAAAAGAGTATTTTGAAAACTGCTGGTTTCTCTCTTGCAGGCAAGAGAACACCCTGGAGAGGCATTCTCCTGTTTGGACCACCAGGAACAGGAAAGTCTTATTTAGCAAAAGCTGTGGCGACAGAAGCAAACAACTCCACCTTCTTCTCAGTATCTTCGTCTGACCTTGTCTCAAAATGGCTAGGTGAAAGTGAAAAGTAAGTTGGAATTTCCAGAGGTCCAGGAAAACATTGTCAAGAAGAAATTATTATAGAGTGAGACAAGTTGCTGTAAAGAATTTGAGGGAATGGTATTTTTCAAAACAAACCATACGTGTTTCTATGCTTCATGCTGCAGTGCCATGTAAAGATACCATTATGTGCTGCATTTTGAGAAACTCTCTTCAGTGCTCAGAAAGATTTTGGGAGCACCACAGAGCTCATTTCCGTTCTCAATTCAGCTGTGATTGTACACTGTATCAGTCTGAAGTGCTGAGTTACTTTGCTTCTTGGCATCTCCCCACTCATCTGTCCCAGCAGCTGTGTGGCATTTCTTTGTCAATGCGGAGGTGGGTTTTTTGTTCATCCCAATTTCAAACAAAATCTGAAAGAAAAAAGAGACCTGCAAAGATAAGGTGAAGGAGAGGAGCAAACGTGAAAGGAATTTTTGTGGGTCCCTATGCTAAGTCTTCATTTGTTACTGTGTGATATATGAAGAAGACCAGGGAGCCAGAAGACCAGGAATGACATGTTGGCTGCAGTCTAGAAGTCCAGGAGTTTGTCCAGCTAATCTTCCAAAAGAGATTTCCTGAATTAATAAAAAGTTCTGGGTTTATAGGGAAAGGATTTTCATATAATAATAAGCATACTTGTCACAACCATTATTTGATAGTTTGAAGTGTGGGACAACTGAGCAACATTGTTTAAAGCTGGGAGAATGAGAAAGAAAAGCTATTAGATAAAGAGTTTAAACTGAGTTATTTTTTCCCCCAGAAATCTGGAAACCTTAAGCTGCTTTTCTTCTGTTGCAAAAGGAATACAGAACTGGAGAGTAGCTTGGCATTAGATTGTATGCTTGACTTCATTTGAGACTATTGCCTGAAATTTAGTGCTGTAATAAGAAGATTTTCCCAGTGTGTTCCTATTTATTTTTCTTTTTTAAACTGGTAAAATGTGTTCATTAAAGATGGCTAGGAGTATATGGGGGTTTGTTTTAGGTTGTTTTGTTTATTTGATCTGAAACCAATATTTCTTATCATGCAAAAATTATTTAGTAAGTAAAGTTGTATAAAGTAAAGGTACATACTATTTCTTAAAAAATCTCTAGAATTAACTTAATTTAGAAATGTTAAGAGTAAGCCTTTTTCTTTTGAATCTTTCTAAATTGGTGGGTTTGTATAGTCCAGGCTGTCATGTAGAAGTGTAAACTGAAAAAGGGCTTTATCTTGCAAAATCATGCCTGGAGCCGTCTAGTTTTTTGTGGTTTTTTCATTATGCTGGCCTCTCTCAGTATAATTCTGAGTCATGGAGCTGGAAGAATATTATGCCTCTGAGTAGTTTTATGTTAATCCTTTTTTTTTCCTTGCTTTCTCTAAAGGAAATTACTGTATCACAATCTGAAGTTATGTGTTTCTGCTGTTGTAATTATTAATATAGCTGAAGCTGTTTCCTTCTTTAAGATTAGTGAAAAACTTGTTCCAGCTTGCCAGAGAAAACAAACCTTCTATCATCTTCATTGATGAGATAGATTCCCTCTGCGGGTCAAGAAGTGAAAATGAAAGCGAGGCTGCTAGACGGATAAAAACAGAGTTTCTAGTCCAGATGCAAGGTAAGTTTATTTGGTTTTCAAAATCAGACTGAGATGAGTTTTTAAGTGTAGTTTGCATCAGAGCACTAAAAATATCTGCAGTTCCATCCCATTAAATTTTGATGACTTTTTAAAACACTCTGTTTATCTAAACTGTGAAATTATTTCTGCCCTTATATAGGGGTTGGTGTTGACAATGAAGGAATCTTGGTCTTAGGAGCAACAAACATACCCTGGGTTTTGGATTCTGCTATCAGGAGAAGGTATGATGGCATTTTTTTTTCATGGCATGCAATTCACAACTGGTGTGAGCCTTCAGCCAGAGAGTGCTTAAGGTGTGTCATCCAGCTCATGTTTGCAGACACAATTAATGTTCTGCATCTCAATTCCATGAAGTGGACTAAGCTAAACTGATAGTCACTTGCCCCTTTAGGGAGAGGTAGGTCGTTCACTCTTGTATTGCCCCTGTAGTTTATCTGTTTTCTTGTTTAGATGATTATGCTTGAAGAAACAGAGGAGTTTTCTGCATGCTTTTTGGTTTTCTGGGAGACTTAGGAGACAATTTAGAAAAAACACATCTCTGAAGGGCAAGGGGGGTAGAACTTTCCTTTTCAGCTGTTAACAAACCAGTGAGTAGCTTGAGCTCTTTCATGGAAGTGTAACCTTACAGAGAAACACCATGTTTTTCTACTGGTCAGCATAACTTATGGTTTTTAACTGCTGTTTTACAGATAAAGGGCTTTTGCAGATATAGGACTGCCTGTACCTGATTATTTGGATCTTTCTCTGAGATGCAGAGCAAACAGAAGACAGATGCAGTTATGTGACAAATAGGATTATGTTGTGATGAGGACACAATTTGGATAATGGCCATTTTTATTGGTTAAAGAATCATTGATTTGTTGGGGGGGGGTGGGGTTTTTTTTATGTGACTGACTGTGATTTTTATTTATATACTGAATTCAAGCTGGCCATACTTCAGTTTTATTGAGGGTTGGACCAGGTCACCTCCAGATGTCACTTCCCATCTGCATGACTCTAGTGTTCTATGAGCAGATTAAGAAGCGAAGGTTTTGCTGAAAATTTGGAGTCATTCTTGAAATTCCAGCTTTGGTTGGCATGCACAGTAAAAGACACACATAGACCTGCTAGTGTGTTCAGAAGGGGGCCATGAAAATGATCAGAACGCCTTTCCTCTGTAGGCAGGCTATAAGAATGGGACTATTCAGCCTGGAAAAGAGAAGGATCCAGAGAGACCTTATTGTGGCCTTTCAATATATAAAGGGAACTTATTGGAAAGGTGGAGAGATGTTCCTTGGTTTTTTTCCCCAGGCTTGTAATGCCAGGACAAGGGGCAGTTGTTCAAACTCAAAGAAGACGAGTTTAGATTGGGCATAAGGAAGAAATTTTTTATGAGGATGCTGAGACACTGGCACAGGTTGCCCAGAGAAGTTGTGGATGTCCCATCATAGGAAGCGTTCAAGGCCAGGTTGGAGGGGCTTTGAGTAAGCTGGTCTAGGGGAAGATGTCCCTGCTTGTGGCAGGGGAGTTGGAACTAGATGATCTTCAAGGTCCCTCTCAACCCAAACTATTTTCTCAGCAACATGAAAGAGAAATCGCCTAGCTCTTGCCCACAAAGCTTAAAGGGAACTTGTACAACCATGGCTGTAATAAAATTAATTTTTCCTGGATTTGGACCACTTTGTCGTGTATATCAGGTTAATTGTGTTCAGCAAAATTTGGAGTTGCTCTTACTTTGTTGGTGGGAGGTAATCTCCACTTGAGGACAGATGCTGCTTCAAAGGAGGAACTGCAGTTGCCAGTGTTTTCTTGAGAATTACTTCAAATTTACTTCTATCTATGGTGTTTTCTTAATTTAGTTGGAGACTGTGGAATGTTGTTGCATGAACTTGTTATCAGGCAGTTCTTTCTTAGAGTGTGAAATCTGTTCAAATTCACTTTAACACTTAAAGACTTCTTCCTCTCAGGTCTTTTTTTTTAAGACTCAACCTCTACTGGAAAAATGTCAGTCTGAAGAGGTGGTTTTTGTAATGTAAAGGGAGCAGTTGTTATATTCTGGATGTTAGGCTAAAGTATTATTTATGAGAACAGGTTGCTGAATCTTTGCCTCACATTTTTTTTAAAGGCTTGTTATACTGAAACAGCTTCTTTCTAATATTGCTGGGAGCAAACTCATTTGCATGAGCTCTTTCCACTGTGCACCTGCATGAGCTGGCATCTTGGGAACACTTTTTGTTTTTTGTCTTTTTTAAACCAGGTTTGAGAAGCGTATTTATATTCCTTTACCTGAAGACCATGCCAGGGCTGCAATGTTCAAACTTCACCTTGGGTCAACTCCAAATGAGCTAAAAGAGTCAGATTATCGAGAGCTTGGGAAAAGAACTGAGGGCTATTCTGGTGCAGATATAAGCATCATTGTCCGTGATGCACTGATGCAGCCTGTTAGAAAAGTGCAATCAGCAACTCACTTTAAAAAAGTAAGTAGTAATCAAAATTTTTCAAGTTATTTCATCTATGAGAACAGTCTTAATTTGAAAATTCCTTGCAAATAAACTGAGTTTGGGTTTGGGTAATACTGCATGCTTATGAATGTCCCTTTTATTGACTGGGGAGAACTGTTCTTCTTTCCCTGTGCCCCCCTCCTCCTGCCATAAGTCTGGTAGCACTAATTTCTGAATATTCATGCTCTGACTCCTAATGTCTCTAGAGAGTGTTAAAAGCATTCAGTTTGCTGTTTAAATGGCAGTTACAGAAGTGCTCTTTTTCTATTTCAAGTTAAGTGGTTCTTAACATGCTGGGAAAAAATAAATATATTCCTCATCCACTTGAGAACAGATGGATTATACTTAAGCACATTCTGTTTACTTGACATATTTTTCAAACTGAAAAATTAAGGTTCTTGTGGAGTTCTGGTAAAAACATTGACTCAATTACAGTAGTAAAGATTCAACACAATTGAGCAAGGTCTGTGTTTCATTTACATTGCTGTAATGTAGAAAGCAGTTTACTTTTATATAGGTACACGCCAAAGAGCCTATTCAAACTATATTGTTTGGTTGATCTTCCAGTAACCTCTGTATGCTGTGTATTGACTTAAGTAACATTTCTTCACAATATTTGGATCTCAGAAACTTTATCTGAAGGAGAACCAATTGGCATTCTTTACTACCAGTCTAAATCTGGCAATGCCTTTCCCCTGGAAAATTTGCACAGATGGGTCTTGTTCAGTCAAATTTATTGTTACCTGTAAACTATTAAACTCTTAAATGGAAAAACAAAGAGTGATAATATTGATGGTTATAAACAGAGGTTAAAATACATGCAATCTATCAGTTGAATAAAATTTTAATTTGCTATGTGGCATATTTTAAAGTAGACCGAGACTAAAGGTACTTTTTGTTAATATTTTTAGTGCAAAATTAGATTTTTACAGAAATACATGTTTCTTGGGTGAAGGTGGGTCAGGATATTCTGCAGAGGTGCTAATTGCTGTAAAAGGAAGCTTTAATTTGTTGCTTCATAAAAGAGCAGGTGTGGTAGGAAAAACTTTAGAATCTAAGGTGTCAAGTACTATGTACATTGTGTTGGCAGCAGTTCTTTGTCATCTCAGTTACAATTACAGGGGTTTTTTTACTGGTAACTCAACCGGACATAAAAGGGTTAAGGGCCCTGAACCGAACAGCTAGGCTCACTTTGAAGATAGGCTCCTTTTTTCGATGTGGTTTCTTCCAATGAACTCATTCAGCTTAAGATTCAAAGAGAAAGACACACTTAAATCTAGTACGGTCCAGAATGTGAGAGGGTAGGTAGTTTAACTTCTGGGGACAGCTCACAGTAACAATGTGATGCAAGCTTTATTTGTTCATAATTTAAAAATGACATGATATATCAAGGATCTTCTAGATGCTTCTTTCCCTTAAGCAGTGATGTCTGGAGTATTTATCTGTTGTTAACTTACATGAAAATGGCATTTCTGGCTAAAGGGCTATTAGCTTTTAGCGTTTTGTTCAAATTTGGAACAATCTGAGGCATGTTTCAGCTTGCTATGGAGCAATGAAATAACCTCTGTTGTCAAAGTTTGCAGTAGCACTTCTTGCATTTTATCTGTTTTTGTTCAAGAAAAAAAAAGGAAGGAAAAAACCCACAACTGCAATACTTTGAACACTGACATGAGCCAAGTTGATTTCACTCGTATTGTTAATGCTTTAATTAGATGTGATTTTGTATTTTTATAAACAAAATCTTAGCATTGTTATTTGCATTGTAGCAGATGACTTACCTCAGTTCAGAAGAGCTTTCCTCAGTTGTCAGTAATTAACTGTAAACCTTTCCTTGCCATATGTGATAATGCAGGTTTGTCAGAGTGTGCTTTGAATATTACAATCTGCTCCCCAGCGTCTTGCTCTAAATGCAGCTTGGAATAGCAAATCCAGTTGTGTCTGTAGCCAGTTAGCGTGCTGTCCTTTAACCTGTGCGTATGCTCCGAGTTCCCGTGGGTGCTGCAGGTAGCAGTGTCCTGCAGGAAGGGATCAGACACCCGGTGCGGCTTTTTTGGGTCTGTCCGTCTGTCTAGGGGGGAAAAAGGCTGTTTTGTTCTCCCACTAGGTGGCGCTGTTTTCTACGGAGCGCTGCTCAGGTGGTGCCGGGAAAGGCGCTGGGAGCTTGGGAACGCGGGATGTCAGAGCGAAAAGCACTGGGAAGCTTTTAGAGAGCTGTTAACTAGAGATGAATGAACTCCTAAAGTGACCAGGGACCAGGATAGGTGGTCTTCACCAAGCAGATTTCCTGGCCTGTCAGTTTTCCACAGAAATCCTCAGCCTTAAGAGGTTGTGGCTTCTGGGATTTCACCTGATGTGATTTTAAGCATCTGGCTACTGCTGCATGTTTTCAAGGTGAATAATACCAGTACACTTGTACAATTTCTCTTTCACAGGACGTGTGTTCCCAAAGGGTAGGGCAGCTGCATAAAATCAAGGAATGGTTTTTGCTTTGGGTGCTGTTCAGCTTCTGGTTTCTGTCTTCAAAATAATAGCTCCTATAAACTGAATGTTTTCTTATTTTTAGGTAAAAGGACCATCAGTGTCTAATCCAAATACCATGGTAGATTTATTCACCCCTTGCTCTCCAGGTGATGCTGATGCAATAGAAATGACATGGATGGAGGTCCCAGGTGATAAATTACTGGAGCCTAAAGTTTCCATGGTAGGTATTCTTCGTAGCATTTCTTTCTCGTTTTGCAGAACTCTGAAAATGCTTTAAGGTAAAGCGTCTTTTTCAGGACAATTGGATGAGATGTTTGTTTTCAGACATGCTGGGCATACCAGATAACATTTGAATTCTCAACATAAATTACTACAGTATGGCATGCTTATGGAAAAGACAGCTGTCTATCCCTGATAAGCATTTCTTATTCTTGTCTGTTGGCGTGCAGCTGCCATCCTTTCATCCATAGACAGTATCTGGCTCTTGCACTGTTCTTTCACTTGGCTTTTATTCATTCAAAACCTGTAGGATTCCTGCACCAGGATACACTTTCTTCTCGTCACTGACATATACTGAGAAATGGAAAATTACATTCACTGTAAATTGGGAAGTGATATGCTATAGGTAAATATTGCCCCTGAAATAGATACAAGTATAAAAAACAAAATGTAAGAAGATTTTGGATTTAATGGTAGTTTAGGTTAAAATTCCTCATAGTGATACAGCTCTTTCTGCTGTTTTCTTTGTGCATATAAAAATACTTGCTTTGGCCTGGGGAATAAAATATGTAATGCAGTTTTCAACTTGAGTTCACTGTTTAAGAAAATTATAATTGATGGACACTCATTCTGTACCTTTCCCCAAGAGCAGCAGAAGAAAATTTTGAATTTAAGTACAAAGTTTGTGGGAAGCACTTAATAACAAATCTATGTTGCTGTAGTTTCCTGCATGCTGACAGTCCCGTAAGGAATGAAAGAAATCAATGCATTTCATGGGGATCACAGGCATTGCTTTGTAAATAGAAGCATCACTGTATTTTAGAAAAGGATTTCCTGTGTGTATTTGCATATTGAGGAAGCAGAAAAGGATTTATGCAGGTGCAGGACTGCCCTAAAACTTCTCCCTGCATGGTCTAATGGCATTTTTAATCGGTCTTTCCTGGAATTAAAGACAGCAGTTGCTTGTGTGCTGCTAATGGTACCTGGCCTCTGATGCACTGCAGACAGATGTTTCAGTGTCCAAAATCAGTTCTTGTCCTTAAAAGATAAGGCTTTAATTCTTTTTGAGCAGGGTGCCCCTGGTCTGATGAGACAAATACCATGTGTGGAAAACCTTTATACTAATTTTTGGATTTTACCCGTAATTTTATAGTAATATGAGGTGTTGGGCATCTGCTTTTTTCAGTTGCCCTTGGCTGGGAATCAGTTTTCTTTACCCTTTTTATTCACAGTGTATTCTAACTGCTGCTTTCAACTTCATAGACCTATGGATTTTTTTCTAAACTCCATTTCCCAGCATCTAAATATTTATCTAGGAAATTGACTGAATTGAAGAGACAGAAACTACCAGTCATGAGCAGTAGAACTTTGCTAGAGATTAATCACAAAATGCTGTTCTACACTGCTGAACTGTGAAGAATACATGGGAACATATGATTATTTTCCATTTAATCTGTAGTAGTTAATCACAGGTTGAAAATAGTAACTGATAGTAACTGATCAAAAAAAAAGGAAGTTCAGTTCTTTTAAAAAAAGAGATGAATACAACTTGAATGGATGAGTAGCTTAAACCTAAACCTGAGGTTGTGATTTTGTTACTGGAAAACTCACTGACCATTGTCTGTATCCAAAGGATCGAAAGGCTGCCCCTGTGCAGAAGTGCTTACTTAAAGTAAGGCTTACTTAAAATTTTGTGTTAATAGGAACTTTTTAATGGTTTTTTAATGTATATTTGTCCTGGCAGTGGTACTGTACTTGTTTCTGAAAACATGTTGATTTTTTTTCTGACAGACGGATATGCTCAGGTCGCTTGCTAGCACAAAACCAACAGTTAATGAGCAGGACCTGGAGAAGCTGAGGAAGTTTACAGAAGACTTTGGTCAGGAAGGCTAAACCAAAGATGTGTGTGAAGCATTAGAACTTTCTTTTTCATTTTAAAGTATTCTTGTGTCTTTATTGATGGCACTTCAAATAAATACCAATAAAATCATCCCTTTCTTACTTTGCAGAAGGAATAGAAGATACCTTTGCAAAGACCCTTAAGCTTTTGTATTGTATTGTTTTCCTCAAATGTCTATTAAATGTCTTCTATTGAAAAATAATGCAAAAATGCAATTTTAAGGTGAGACAGAAAAGTGATGTGGTAATGTCTAATAAATCCTAGAAAGCTTTAAATTACTAGTTCCATTTTAGGTAGTAAATTAGACCTGGATACCAGTGAGTTTACTTACTTCCAGTAAGGTCAAAAACCTTTTAAGGGATGGGAGAAAACGTATTTGTCAGGTGATTTCAGTATCAGTCAATCAGCATACATATTAATTGCTTTCATTTCATTTAGGAAAATGCAACAAAATTTTCTAATCAACCCTACTGCAACTGTGGGTTTGCTGTTAAAGTAAGAAAGAAGACACTGTGAGGATAAGACTACATGGGCCAGTACTTTGATTAAATATTGATGGACTTGTTATTTGGCTTTTTTCTGCTATGCTGTGTTAAAATTTTGCCTTAAGCAGTGAGATTTTGTTTTTAACTCTTTACTAGCTGGTACACACTGTCACTATGCAATTTAACACAAGTTTGTTAAATGCAGGTAACTCAGAAGGTGTTTTGCTGGCTGTTCTTGCAGGGGTTGCTTTATTTGATGTTTTGGTTTTTAAAATCTGGATTCTCTTCCTGGTGAAGTTTTGACTAAAGTTAGAAAAAAGCATTAGTAATGTCCTCTAAGATCCCATGTGTTGAGGCTGGCAAAAGGTATATGTAGTCTTGGGAGAATGTATGGGAGGCATTTTGGGAAATAGCATACTTTCACATGCAAGGAGATTAGAAAAGATGTTTTAGCCACAGCCCTTCCAGTGATAAATTAACCCAGAACCCCACTGGTAACTGTAGCATATATGTTACATCAATTTAGTGCTTTAACTGGGAGAGAAGGCTGGCAGTTTAGTATAAAAGTAGCACTTCCATTGCTCTTTTTCTGCAGAACTGCAAATGGAGATGTGCCTGAATGTAACTTAGAACACTACAGCATCAGCATTGAGTTTGTGCCTTGTAAGTTTGCACTGGCTGTAGATATGAAACACCATTAGGATATCTAGAATACTCTATCTTCCATTATCATTGTACAACTCTATCCTGCAAATGTTTTGTTTAACTTGCATTAAAAAAAATTTGCACATTTTAGGTGTGTATGTTCTATGTACATATGCACAAATATGATCATCTTTTGATGGGGTTTGGTTTCTTTTATGTACATATTTTGTGTACCTTATAAATCATAGGATGGGTGACATTTTCTGTACTTAAATGAAGTAAAATGTTGTAGTACGACATCAGCTATGTTATTTGAGTATTTCTTCAATGTTTTGTTCAAGTTTTTACTGCTTTGTCTTCTTAGACTTTTGTTTCTGTGTTTAATAGCCAAACAAAATAGTTAAATATTCTTTAATCTGTAAGGTGCTGAGCCTTTTTTTACTAACATGATGAAGCATTTTTTCCAGAATCATTCAGTTACACAGCGTTACCTTTGTCTTAACATCAGAATGTGTAAATGTGACTTGTTGGGCTTCAAATCTTTTGGGGGGATGGCAGGAGACAGAGTGGGTAAGGGCAGGAATTCCAGCATAGGTACAGGCAGCTATGGTTAGTGAGCTCAATCCTCATTGCAACAAGATCTCATTCGTAGTCTTCTCTTGTGAACATTTTAGAAGTGAGCCACATACTAGCATGGCTGTCGTTCAGAGGTTTGAAGCCACTGTCTGAAGTTTTTATCTCTTGACCTTTTGAAAAATTAGAGTCCTTACTGCAATCCTGCATTCTTAAACTTCTCAGGAACGTTTCATTTTTTGGTTCATTTTTTTCCTTTTTGTGGTAAGCTGTTTTGTCCTATGGGCTTCCATATGCTTAACCGTGTAATCTCATATCTTTAATGCAAAAGAAAAATATACTGTATGTTTTAAATTTACATCTTGCTGCTTGCTCATATGACATCTGTAACAGAACCTTTACTATTTGATGTTGAAAGTTGTTTTTAGAAATATATTCCAAATAAACTTTGCTGCTTAGAATTGCAGCTACAAGGGCAACTTTTTGGTTTGCTGTCTCTGTAAAATTATGATAAATTAATATATATGTCACCAAGCTTCTTAGCCAAGTTATCCACAGCAGATGATAGCCAAGCGAGGGAGTGTGCTTTAGTTTTCAGTTTCAGTGTGTTTTAGTTTTTCAGTTTTCACTTTAGTTTTCAGTTTTAATTGAGAATACTCCAAATCAGAGAATTCATGAAAGGCTGCATTTGCTTTGAATAATCAGAACTCTGTAAATACTGGACAAATTAGTTGTACCTGTTTAATGAGGTCTGGTCTTTGGCTGGTTAGCTTACAAATTTTTTTCATGCTTTCTGGTGTCACTGCTGACTCTGACTGCAATATGAAAAAATATTTTCCTTCCTGTGTGTAAAATTATTTTTCAATTAAATCACTTCTGTATGTGCTTGTGTCCTTCACCTGTGATTTCTTCACACTGACATTAAGTTTTGGATTCCCTACCATTTGTGGTCTGTCTCTTGATCGACATACTTACAGGGTTAGAATAGCTCAGTAAATCAACTTCTTACATTTTTTCCTGCATTCCCTGACTGGTATCAAGTTCCAGAGTCATTTGATTTACGTGTTGCCTTTTTGTCCTTGTCTGTGATAACAAAAACATACAAATCTTTTCAGTTTTCCATAAATCTTAAGGTTTTTGTTTGGTTTGGTTTTTCAAGTCTGTTGGTCTTTGAGTATACTCATATGCTTTTGTTTTAATTAGTGGAGTAGAACAAATGTAGCTGAGGGAGATACTCTGGAATCTGCTTTTTTCATGTTCCTGCCTGTCAGAATTTGCACTTTTTGTCAAGTGAAGCAAAGAAGCTGCTGAATAGTCTCTGATCAGGTGTTTTGATTTACTTTTGGTGTTTATTTAGTGTTCTTAATATTCCACATTTTTTGTTGTTTTTCTGAGGATTATCTTGACAGGAAGCTATTTAATAGTTCTGAATTTGTTGAAATATGCAGAAAAGTCTTCATTTGGTTGTTTACTCTTTCCTTCCTCTGGAATGACAAGCTTGTTTCAAGATTGGCTTCCATACATGTTTTTGGTCTTAACCAGATTCACCCTAGTAATCATGGTTGACTTAAAGCCATTCCTGTAACTTACGTAAACTATTGCAAGAACTCAATGGACTGTTTGTTTCATACTGTGCTGCTATTCCAGCAGATAATTAATTCTTATCAAAACATGGTTTCTTTCATCCCTGACCAGGCAGCTTTTGTAGCTCTTGTGGCGTAGCTTCAGTGCTTACCCCTTCAATTTTTCTTTAGCTTTTTATTAACATACTAATCTAGGGATTTTATTCCACAAATCCTCTGTCATCATCATTAACTGCATAAAAACTTTTAATTGGTCGTTCATCCTCTATCCTGGCATTTGTGTAGTGACAGGCCAGGTATTAGATAAGATTGTCCTGTTTTTATCTTTTGGTCCCTGTGACCTAATTAGAATTCTTCTTCTCCCTCCCTACTTCTACATGCACACACACCCTTCTGATGGGAGCTTTTTGATTAGGCTGCTGGTTTGTGACATTTTCTGTTTATTCACTTATTGCAGCCTTCCTACCTGAGAGGCTCCAACTTGATGAATAAACACTCAAGGATACTTCTTTCCTTTGCCATATCCCAAGTTAAGGGATGCTGATTTTCCATCCATTCGTGCCATCTGTGCATGGTACCTGCTATGTGTACAATCTGCTAGTCTTTTGCAGAAATATGTGACATTTATGGGCTCATTTAGCTGAACTTCTCAACCATTAGTCATATGGAAACACAATAGAATGTCCTATCTGCATCACAGCAGGAGCTTGGTTCCCTTCTAAATAGGCTTTAGTTGTATTTTGAGACATCTCCAGGAAATAAGTCACTGACATCTGACACAGGCCTGATGTTGATAATGCAGCCAGAGTTTTCTTTCCTGCTTGGTGACCTATTATCAGGCACTGTAACATGAATTGGCAGGACTTGCTTTTGCTTGCCCTCACTCCTCCTCTGCTGCCTCAACTCATTTAAATCCAAGCTATTCAAGGCAGGGACTTTGCTTTCAAACATGCTCAGTGTCACATGCATTCTGTCAACGATAAACAGTAATTTCCTCTGACTCACTCTGTTGTTGGCCCGATGACCGTCCACAGGTAATTTGTTACAAAAATCTCAGCTGGAGTAGCTGCCTTCTGCTGCTCTTCTGTCCATGTCTCAGCAGCAGCGAGTCAACTAGGCAAGGGGCTGGGAAAGTGGCTTTAAATATCACCATCTCATTCAGGAAACACAGTGGCAAATGGGGACTGTTATTTGCAGCTGTGACTTTGGCTCTGGCAGATCTTGGTGAATTGTTTGCCAATTAAAAGTTAAAAAAAATTAAAACTAGTAATTCAAATTATAATTTCTTCTTCTCCTTGAATGCTAGAGCATGGGCTGTAGGTCAGAGCCTCCCTGCTATCAAGACTTCTTCATGTAAGATTTTAGAAAATCTGGAAAAATTAGCTGATTACTATTTTCAAATGTCCCATTTAAGTTGCCAGTTGAAATGCTCATGCTCTTGCCTGAGCATGACCCTACTTGAAGTTTTAATGATGTTTTAATTAATTAATCACAGCTATTAGTTGCTCCACAGACAACAGCAAATAAATTATTACTGTTTTAATCTTTATACCTGCTCTTGTTTTGCTGTGGACCAGTATGTTTGTGTCCTTCCTTTCTCTGTCACTGTAATTATGTTTTCTTTTTTGTTGTTGCTGTTCTTACCTGCCAAAAAAACTCATGCCCACGATGCACGTGTCCCCTGTCAGTGTGGGAGCAAGCAGGGCACTGTGCCTGCCTGACAGCAAAGCTGGTTTAGCTGCAGCAGAGCCAAAGTTTCCACAGGAGCCACAGACAGACAGAGCTGCTGACAGAGCCTAAACCTTTCTGTCCACCCTTCGTCTTCACTGTCCCTTCACCAGTTTCAAGATAGAAGGGGTGCCCCTATAAAGACTCTGCAATGGCCCAAACTCACCCAGGGGCACACATGCACACCTGTATGTAGGGACGCTGGTGACAAACACCTGACAAACACACAGGGTCCGTGTGCCCACCCACCCAATGCACGCCAGGGAGGCGCAAAATTACCTCCATCCAGCACCTGGAGCACAGTGAGGTTCCTGCCCATTCCAGGTTTAGATGGGCTCAGCCCAGCTGGGACCAAATGTGCTGGAGCATTTATGGGGTTTCTGTGGGGCAGTGGGACATAGTGGTATAGTTCATCCTGGGCAGCCTGAGGCTCTACATGGGGTAAATGAATCCACAGAAACATGTAGAGTCTGCATCAGATTCCCTGGAAGTTGACTGGTGAACAAGGGCAGCAATGCTGACACTCAGGGCTCCTATGGGGTTTTGTCCTAGTTGTGTAAAATGTGTAAAATGGTTTCCACAAGCTTTGAGGCTGTTTGGCTTATTCTCTTGGGCCTTCTTTTGTGCAAAGCGTGCTCGCTTCACTGCAGTACATACTGGAAATGCATTATGCTTACAAGAAGAAAAACGTTTTGATGAGAATTTTCCTTTGATGTAAATGTTAATTGGCAATTTTTGCCTGCCTCTTTCCTGTTGCTTTTGACTAATTTTCTGGGGTTTTTGCTTTTTTTTTTTTTTTAATTTTGGTTTCTTTCATTTTTTGTCTGACTTACCCTCTGTCCTTCACACCATTTTTTTTCCTTTCTCGAACAGAAGATAAAGCACTGATTTCTTTTTAAATCCTATTTCAAAGCTCTTTATGTTCTGATATTTTTCCAGTGTTTATAGCAAAGCAAGTTTACATCGAACAAATCAGAAGCTGACAGAGTGTCTCTGATTTCTGTTTTTCCCTTCAAAGCGACAGTCCCATCTGTACACGCTGTCCTTTCCCAGGCTGACAGCAGGAAGGCAATGGGCTGTGCTGTTGTTAGAGGATGGAGACGGACTTGGAGGAGCACAAGCAACTCTGATGTACTCGGTAGCAGTGCAAGGGGGAGGAATGATTGAATTGCTTGTGTTCAGCAACCTGTTTTGTACCTGTTTCTTGGGTTAGAGGGGGAAAACAGAGCTATGTACAAGACATCTTCTAAATTTCTATTGCGCAGCAGCAGCTCCTCTGCAGTGCATGCCAAAGATAAATTAGTAGGGACTGATGGCAAGGGCAGAGGTTGTGTAATTTCATTCAAAAAATAAACACCAGCCTCTTGCCAGTGCTGTCAATATCCCGTGTGTTACCTGGAACTGGAAACAGACTTAAT